ATCTTATTTGAGTCAGTCATCAGTCAGTGGAGGAATCTTTGGTAGTTTTTTGTTTGTTTTTAAAATGTTCCCTTTTCTTCACGCCAGCGGGTGGTACATCTGTGTTGTAGCCTCTGCCGGAATAAGGTCACCTCTGATGAATTAAGACAGACACAAGAAGAAAAACGGGGAAACTCCGTATATGGGGCAGCGTCCTGACTGCCTCTGAAGGTATATCTAAACAAAAAGAAAAGCGGGGGGAAAGACGGTTAGTCATCTTTCAAATTAGGCTGCCTAATTCATTCCAGAAACTGGTATGCTATGGAAACATGGCTTGCTATCTTTTGGTGATTGTGAAACAATGCAGGAGTTTCGCTTCACTCATGACAAGTCAGGAGCTGCCCCGCTTCATGAACCACAGCTGCATACTCAAAGCATTTCTCAAACAAAGCCCCCCTTTCAAGGCTTTGCACAGCCCTAAGAACTCATTTCCTTCAGTCTTAACATGCTATGAAACCATATACGGGATTGGGATGCTACTGGGAGGATGTCAACAAGCCCACGTACGGTTGTTTACATAATCTGATTTTGTGCACTCTCCTTCCACGATTGAGATGTCATCAATAGCAATGTCTCCTTCAATGCCTCGGCCACGGATGCCTTCAAAAACAACCTGAGATGGGAGGGAAAAAAGATACTGATGTTAAACATAAAATCCATGAGTGACACAAGAGGAGCTTTTAATATAATGAAAATAGAATGTTGTGTTGAATAATTTCTCCTTCTGTTTATCCAGTCCAGCAGAATTCAAAGTTATTTTTTCAGTTGAACACGCACACACATGGAAAAGTTAGCATATTTATAACAGGGATATATGAAACCTTTTGTCTGGTGTTTCAACCTTCCTGATTATCTGAAAGCAGTAATTCATGATTTTTTATTCCTCAAGTCAATGTGCTGTTTTCACAAGGGCAGAATTGTCTGAATGGCTGGATTACAAGTTAATTCACTTCTAAGCACAAGGATACTTCATTCCCCAATGAAAACATTTATAAGCTTGCTATTGTCCTTCCTTCCTACTTTAGGCTATTGTTTACTAGTGCATTCTATGAAAGTGTTAATCAGATGGCTATTGTGCTTGTTCCTCAAAAGATTTTCTTTAAAAAAAAATCCAATTTCATATTATGTTAATTGTTTAATTATCAACTTCACTCTCCTTCTTGTGATCTACAAAAAATATGCCCTCTCAGAACATGCTAAATCCTAAATCCAGGCTAACACACACAGATTACTATGAAAAAGTATCCATCCATCCATCCATCCATCCATCCATCCATCCATCCATCCATCCATCCATCCATCCATCCATCCATCCATCCATCCATCCATCCATCCATCCATCCATCCATCCATCCATCCATCCATCCATCCATCCATCCATCCATCCATCCATCCATCCATCCATCCATCCATCCATCCATCCATCCATCCATCCATCCATCCATCCAATTTCTATAGCTGCCCATCTCAAACATGTGACCTTGGGCAGCAAACAATAATAAAATCAATTAAACCAATTAAAAACACAATACAAAAAGAAAAATTAAATACATACGGCAGCCGATAAATATTATAATCTGTAGGTGTTAGCATAACCAGGAAATGGAGCTCTTCACAAACTTGGGACACCAGGCCTGGGCACCTAACCAAGTCTTCAAGGGATTCTGAAAGGCCAGCAGGGTCACGGCCATCATAATCTCAGGAGGGAGGACATTCCAGAGGGCAGGCACTATGGCGTGACAACCAGCACCTTGAATTGTACCTGGAAACACACTGGCAACCAATGCAGACCACAAAGCAGTGGTGTTACATGTGCCGAGTAGCCAACACCATTTACAACATGGACAGCTGCATTCTGCACCAGCTGAACCTTCTGAATGCTTTTCAAGGGCAGCCCCAGGTACAGCATGTTGCAGTAGTCCAGATGGGTGGCCACGAGAGCATGAGTGACAGTGAGCAGAGCCTCCTGGTCCAGGAGTGGGCGCAGCTGACACACAACCCGAAGGTGTGCAAAGACCCTCTTAGCCACAGCTATGACCTGCTCTTCCAGCAAGAGCCGTGAGTCCAAGAGGACCCCCAGATTGCACACCGGGTCTGTCTGAGGCAGTGCCACCCCATACCAGGATCAGAGGTGGAAAAACCTTGACACCAAAAGGCCCAAGCAGCCAAAGCCACTCAGTCTTGCTTGGGTTGAGCCGAAGCCCATTGTGCCCCTTCCAGGCCCCTACAGCCTCCAGGCACTGGGACAGGACATCCACAGCATTACTTAGGCAGCCCAGGGTAGAGATATAAAGCTGGGTATCATTGGCATACCGATGATGCCTTAACCCAAACTGTTGGATCACCTCATGCAGTGGCTTCATGTGCATGTTAAATACAGTAAGAGGGGAGAGAGGACTGAGCCCTATGGCACCCCACAAAGTAGGGGCTGTGGGATGGACCTCTACCCCCATCAACACCAACTGGAACTGACTCTGGAGGAAGGAGAATCAGCACAACACCATGCCACTTACCCCAAACTCCCGAAGCCGGCCCAGGATACCATGATTGATGGTATCAAAGGCCGCTGAGAGGTCAAGAAGAGTAAGGATGGATGCACTACCTCCATCCCACTCCCACCGGAGGCCATCCAAGAGTGCAATCAATGCCTTCTCAGTTGCATACCCCAGCCTGAATCCTGACTGAAAGGGGTCCAGATAATCTGCTTCATCCAGAGCCCTGTGAAGCTGCTGTGTGACCACTTTCTCTACAACTTTCCCTAAAAACTGGACTGGATGAAAGGCCTGGACTGGATGAAAACTGTCCAGATTAGTTGGGTTGAGCAATGGCTCTTTGAGGAGGGAACACACTACTGCCTCCTTAAGAGCTGGCGGGACCACCCCCTCCCTCAAGAAAGAATTAATCACCAGCCAGACCCAACCACACGTCCTCTCCTGGGCAGCCTTGACCAGCCAGGAGGGGCACGGATCTAACCCAGAAGTGGCTGAACTAAAAGCTACAAGAACCCAGTCTACTTCCTCAGGTTCAATGGAATCAAACTCTTCCCATGCAGGAGTCAGCCCCCATAACCTCCACTGGCCCTACACCAAGGCTGGAGTCCAACACAGAGCGACTTCGAGCAACTTTATTGGCCAGATGCTCAGCATATTCCTCACAGCAACCCTAAAGATGAACCCAAGAATGACTGCCTCCAAGGAGGGTCTGGCTCACTTGAAACAGGGCTGTTGGGCACCTATCTGCGGACACGATAAGGATGGAGAAATAATTATGTTTTGCCACCCTCACCACCACAAGGTAGGCTCTAACTGTGGTCTAGCTCATGTTTGATCAACTTCACTCTTTTATTGCTTCCTTTCCCCTTTTGGCTTCCTTTCTAGATTTGCTGAATTTTTAATTTCTTTGCTACTGAATGTTGTCAAGAGTTCATGTGTGTCTTGCTGATATATGAAGGCATGAGCATGTGACACTAAAATTTGGTGTATATTTTATTATATTTAAAGTTCTAGTGTGGAGGAAGTTCTATGCAAACTATAGCTCACAATTTGAAATTATCAGATGGATCCATTCTTTTGATTCAAGGCCATGAAACTAATCAGTTAAAATGCATTCCTAAGAATTATTTCAATACTGAGAGTATTCCCATACTTTCCCATTTACTGGTCCATTGATTTTAATGGATTAAAAACACTAGAGTGAAAAAAACAAAGATGTAATAAAGGAAGTAAAGGGCCTTCAAATGCTTTTCTGAGAGTTTTTACAGCATTTATACCTTACCAGTTTTGCTTCCTGATAAACAGTGTTTTGTAAGTAACACAGACACACACACACAATGGTAGCCTTCTTACAAATACCAATCTGCCCATGAGCAGCCATTTTGTCATAACATCCACAATATGCTCCCAGATTGCCCCAAGGGCTTCTTGGCTTAGTGGTTGTCTAACCCAGTTAATGCTAAAGGGAAGTGATTTCATCTGGGAGGTTTGTAGGTCCCCTCCTGCCTTCCTGCCTCCTAGTTCAATTGTTTGAGCAAGGGCAAGACATTTGCTGGAAAAAGTCGCAAACTTTGGGATCAGCAGCGATCAGAATTATGCAAGAAAAATGACATTTTCTGCACATTCCTTTTCTTGATGCCATATGGGACTCTAACATGCCAGTTTAATTAGGCTGTTATAGTCATCAAGTCTGGCAGAAAAAAATCATTCTGTAACAAACTTCAAAGGCCTTTTTGCAGAGATAGTGGGAATTAGGCAATGGAGCGATGGTATTTGTGCTGGACTATTAACTGAGATTTCCTCCCGCCAGTTTAAATTGACTAAATGTTGAGGATAATTCCATAAAATGAAATGGGGAATAATTTGGTATTAAGAAAGAATTAACATAGGACAGAGGAATCAATTGGACAGTATTTAATCCCATTCACAGCTTCCCAAAAACCATTATGTCTCTAATTTGGAGCACAATTCTGGGCATAGCTGATGAGTCAAAGAAGACTTTTGTTTCTGAGAGACTTGGGAATTAAGGCAGAGTATGCCAGACTCATATTTTACAGCAAAAAAAAAAAAAAAAGGATCACCATATCTGGGCTGCAAAACACTGAATGACCACTAGATATCATCAAAGAGATACAGAAAAAATGTAACTCTTTGCTGGCATCTAGTGGATACTGGATGTTGTAGCCAAGATATGAGCAGTTCTAGCAAAAATGTAACCTTGAAGCAAGCCTAAGGGTTGAGTGTCTCTCCTTGATTAAAGGTAGCCTAGAATCTCAAATAACTAGAAGATGATGTGAAGCAGGGACCAGTACCACTGAGAACCCTAAGGATGTAAAATCTCACCTTCTTCACTTAATCTAGCATCATGGAAACTTGTTTCCTTATCTCCAGAAGCACTTTATCTGCTTTTCTCTGATTTTTTTTGTAAAGGGGTGGGGTGGGGAGAAGTGTTCGGATGACTTTAAAGTTCCTTCATCTGAAAGGCAATAACTCTTACCCTGCTACTTTCAAAGTATTTCAAAATTTCCATCCCAACTGATCTTGTAACTCTCTTCAGGCATACAAAGGACAGAACTATGTAATGTAAATCCTTGTGATTGGCTGGAAGATGGTAAATAGCTTCTGCATTGGCCACCCCCAGTGCAGTGTCATTCATGACATTAGGTTTAGGCCTTACCTACTCTTACTATTCCTCATCTTGTGTCTAGAATTTGTTATAGCCATAGCTTGGTGCATAGCAAATCTTTTAAAACTGAGAGGTATTTCCAAAACATGTCAATGTCCAGCACTGGGAAGCTGGGCATTCAAAAGCAAATATACACTCCAGGCCTAAGTTCTTGGATATGCCAACAATTGCTCTTTGTTTATCAATTTGAAGCACTTCATTCCAGTCTTCAGCCTACTCACCTCCAAAAGTTCTTAAGTACACAAGACTTTCCTGCAGGCATTTATTGTAAAGGTAACATCACAAAGGGAAAATGTATTGTGAAGGAAGAGGAAAAATGTACATTTGGGGATACATGATTCTTGAGTGTAAGGGTTCAGCAAATCATGGAGCTGGACAAAGAACAATGGTTACTTGTTCTTCTCTTGGTGTCTTCAGCAATGGCAGGCTGTAGTT